ACACACACACGCGCGCGCTATTGCTGCCAGAAGTATCCAGCGATGTTCAAGTCTTTGTCGCCGTGGTACTATTCCTCTTCTGATTAGTATTGCAATTGTTATGAGCTGTTGGTGGCGCCAGGAGGTGGCTACTTGCGATCATACCGGCATATACATACATACCCTTTGAAATCATGACCTGTTGGGGGCATGCCTGCGCTTGCCCGCTGCCCTGAACGCTCAACAATAAACGCCTACTTGGAGGTTCATGCGTAGTTATAAGTAGGGTTATAGCTAGGGTAACTATACTTATAACCCTAACTGGAAACTTATGACCCCACTTAGAACCACCCCTGAACCTCCAACTAACCCCTAACCCCCAAGCTAGAGTCCAATAAATCCGAAGCTGCACTGACTCTTACATCCTCGAACTGATGATCAGGTGCAGTTCTAGCCTTACGGAGTCCAAGCATCAGCTACTTGAACTCGTTATGAAAGTGTTGCAAGTTGCTTCTATAGAACTTGCATGCTTATATAGCTCCGTCAAGGTCAACATGTGTTTTGGATGCTACGTTAACCACAGTCACAATTACTGCTTTTCAGGATGCGAGCTTGAAGCTTGCGGTTGTGCTGCTACATTATTAAGAACAAGTAGTAATACCATGTGGGGGGGGGGTCCTTATTGCACTTATAGCCTCTTGTCCCAAAACCCCAGGCCAGTGATCAGGGCCCCCATATCATAGAACCCTTATAGCGGCCCCTTTAAAGGAACTCTAAGGCCGCCAAATCCTACAAGTCTAATCTTTAAGCCCCATATAACAGTAAAGTATAACCGTTCTGGAAACCCTTCTTATGGAGCTCTCAGAGGAAATCCTTTTAATTTTAGTAACCCTTATCTGGAACCCTTAAAGGAATGCGTGTTACAGAACCGCGTTCTAATTATGCAGGCCCCTGCAGTAGCTTACCTCAGCTCTCGACCGCTTGGGGCGCTTTGGAGGAGGTTCGACTCCAGGAGGCTTCTCCCTGATTAGGGGCTTAGGGGGGGCGTAGGGTTTAGTTTTTTCTTTTTTTTTTGAGCTCTTTTTGCTACAGGGTTGAAGGTTTAGGGGTGGAAGGGTTTAGGGGTTTAGGGTTTTAGGGTTTCGGGTTTAGGGTTTTAGGGGTTTAGGGTTGATAGGACTGATAGGGTTTAGGGCTTGGGGGGTTTCGGGCTCCGGGCTTAGGATTGCGGGTTTTGGGTTTGGGGTTTTGGGGGTTTTGGCTTTAGGGATATATAGATGTTTAAGGATAGATTTACGGGTCGAATGCCGGCAGAGGTAGTGCAAAGGCACGGGTTACGGTCTGCTAGAGTTCCTAAGCACTAAACCTAAACTCCGCGCCCCAAATTACCATACTCCGAGTTCCTGAAGCCCCACACCCCCTAAATACCTAAAGCTCTTACAGATCTCAATGACTACCAAGAACTACCCCACTAAACCCTAAACCCTAAACCCTCAACCCTAAACCCTAAACCCTAAACCCTAAACCCTACCCCCCCCCCCCCCCCGCAAGCCAAGACCTGTGCCTGCTCCGACTCTTGTTCGGGGGGTGAGCCTCCTCGGCTGCTTTCGACCTGAGTTGAGGGTTGACATCTTACAGTAGCCGACACCCTGAGCCCGAAACCCATTGAAATAAGAAGCCTATATAAATCCTGAGCCTTACACCCTGTAGACCCTTCACCCTCCTGAACCCAAGAGTTTGGTGGTTGAAGGCTTATATAGGCTCTCAAGGCTTTTGGGCTGCTTCCAGCTTGGTTTTGGTCTGACGGATTTGGGGTTTGAGGTTGTTTTGCAAGACTGTTGGGCTTATGGGGTTCCTGGACCCTACGGGACCTGCCTTTCTGCGGTTCCCTAATATGATTTCTTTATATAAGTCCTCAAAAAGGGTAGGTTACTTGGGGTTTAGGTTAGGGATGTAGATAGAGAAATTGATGCTCCAGGAGTTGAGGATGTAGGGTTTATATGGGTTTCGGGCTGCGGGTTTCACGAGCATGAATGCATTCTTGAGGATTTGGACGGTGCCGTGACACCTTGTTCTTGGGGCCCTGATGACACCCAGATCTGATGTGGTCTTTGGCAGGCAGCCACAGTTTTGAATATCCCACTACTTTGGCTGGTCGGTGCTTAACCTAGTGCTGTAGGGTTGAGGCCCCAGACGTCGGTCTGATATTTAGCCATACAGCACCCCGCGTTTGTCGCTATGCAACCATTATACTATAACAGCCCGCCATACCTATTCTAATAGCGATGGCAGATCTCGTGCGGTGGCTGTGGGTCGGTTGCTGCGGTCACCGCCCTCGGCATAGAGGAGACAAGGCTCGTCGCATTGAGGTTTAGTTTCAATATCCTAAACCCTAAACCCTAAAGCGTCAAGAAGATGGGAGCTTCCGAAATTGAGGGTACCTTATTTGGGGGCTCCTTCTAATAAGGATCCTGCTGTTTAGGGTGCTATAAAAGGGTCCCCTATTCTCGGAAACTCCCATATGGCTAACGAGATTCGAGGTTTGGCAGAAGAAGTGCGGCAAGGGCTTTGGTCAGTTTAGGGCTTGGCGTCTTCAAACAAACGACAGTCAACGTGACATGCTTAGCGGGTTGTCAGAGCCGGACGCATCTACCTTCAAAGCCCTAGCCAGGCAGCCTGCAAACCAGACTAAAACCGATGACGCAGTCACCAACGGTGTGAATATCAACTCGTTGCGTCTTTGAAAGGCTTTAGGAATGCAGACTCGAAGGAACAAGCGCCACTGGGTGTCTATGCTGACACGCTCCTCTATGTTGGCGTACATGAAAACTGGCCACTACTACCCTATATATATATATATATATACACAGATACATACATACATACATACATACATACATACACACACACACACACCTATATATATATATATATATACAAACCCCCAAACCCTAAACCCTAAACCCTACATACTAGCACTATACTGATTGCAAGTATTGCTCGTTGTCTGATAGAAGGGAAGCTCTGCCAGGGTGATGATGTCAGTGGTGATTGTGGATTGCAGTGTTGGTAGTTCTGCTTGTAATTGTAGTCGCGGTTCTTCAGCTGCCGCGATTGTCGTGGTTGTGGCTGTTGTTGTTGTTGCTGCTGCTGTTGCTGCAGTTGTTGTTATTGTTACAGTGGTGATGGCAGCGGTGTTTTGTTGTGGTGGTGGCTATGCTTGCGCTTATGCTTGAGGTGGTGGTGATGGTGGTGGTCGTGGTGGTGGCGGTGCTGGTGCTGGTGCTGGTGCCGGTGCTGCTGGTGTTGCTGGTGGTGCTGGTTGCTGCTGGTGCCGGTAAGGGTGCCGGTTGTACGGAGCAGGTCTGAGCCACAGCGAACTTACGCGAAAGCAGAACATGTGTGTGACTACACCTAGGCTGTACATGTCAAACTCAGTATGTGGTATTGTCTGTCAAGGATCTCTGGTGGAGGCTCGATACTGCCCTTCTCCTCCGGCTGGACCTGCCATGAAGGTCACATATATATATATATATATATATATATATATGCATGTAAGCCTATGTGTGTATATATGTAGAGATGTGTGTGAACAACGATAACACAAGTAGTAGTACTAGCAATAGAACAGAAACAGTCTACGAAGTAATACTACTAAAATAGAAGGTAATAAAAATATTCATAAGCGCAATTCGTACCATATGATGGTCCGTCGCAAAAAAAACACCAGGAAATCACCACTCTTCTTCGTGTGTTGGTTCAATGGGATACCTGCCGAACTGACTGCAAATCTCTACGATAACTACGCTGCTGCGCGCCGTTGGATTCCAAACGCAGCTCTACAGGTTCTGGCAGAGGTGCGCACTGCTGTCGAAAGACTCCGACTGAGCACAAAATTCGGAGCCGTTTGCATACGAGGTGTTTCTCTGATTGGGGACCTTTGAAGCTGTTCTCTGCTGGTATTCTGGACTGCTTCGAGCGTTTCCTGAGGTGAAGAAAAGGTTTGGGCTGAAATTGACATGATTCGGTGTTGTTGTAATCATTTTGATGATTATGACTCGTAGTGGTAGTGATATTAGTAGTAGTGTAGTAGTAGTAGTAGTAGTAGTAGCAGCAGCAGCAGCAGCAGCAGTAGTGGTGGTAGCATTAGAACCAGTATCTTGGTTTTAATTCTATAATTCTCTTTCTGGGGGTCCACGACGCTTAGGATATCGAGTGAGCAGGGTACAACGGCTTGTGGGATTTACACTGCCGAAGGAATCCAGAGGAGCCTGGCATATCTTCGCACTTCAATAAAAGTTAGGGGTCAGGGATTGCGATTTACGGGGTTTAGGGCCGTTTAGGGTTTCGGATTGAGGGTTTAGGCTTCTCTGCGGTTGACGGGATGTGGAGGCTCCACACAGGCCAGGTGAATCAAATCCCTGCAGGTGAACTTACTAACTACAAAAGCCTCGAAAAAAGGAGTAAGGCTTTAAGGCAATTATATTGTAATAAAATAACTATGCAGCATCTACTACCAGCTGTTACTTCCTAGTATGCCGGCATTAGAGGTTAGAGCTTGAGAACGTTTAGGAAGGGACGCCCGATAATCAGCAACTCACCTGAACACCAAGCTAAACTTTCTGACATGTACCAACCTGAAGGCAGCACTCCCCCTGCAAGCCGCAACCCGTAAGCGTGTTTATACCCATGTACATATACATATACACAGACATATACACATACATATTTTTAATTCTATTTAGACTTCTATGTGAGGGTATGTAGAACGATTTCAGTATGCTGTATGTAACAGTGTGTACTTCTATATCTATGTATATACATATGCACATACTGATCGGCACTGTGCATGCAGACCTTGCGTTCTTTTCCAGACAAGCTTGTTTCACCTCTCTGTACAAGGTGATGCAATGTAGCATGCAAAGGATCCTAGTCTCATCTTGCAGTGTAAACACGGCCACGGCTGCACAACGTGGGTCAACACTGCAGAAGCACAAACACACACAGAGACTATGCTCTACTCAATACTTCGTTCGCGCCTTCATTCTCGTTGGCACTGACTTTTGAATCATCTGCTTGCTAAGTTTCTGAAGGCATACTTGACGTTCCGTTTCGGTCCGCATCTGGCTCAATTCCTGCCTGTGCTGGTAGACTTCCTCTTCACCGAAGTTGTGCGCCGCCACCTGCATCAGTGACTCCACGGAGGTGTTGATACGGGTTAGTTCAATCCAATGCCCCATGCTGGTGACGAGCTGGCCACCCGACGGATACGTGAGTGTCACATGACCTGCAACTCCACGCTTGCTGGAACCATTGTGCTCGATTTGGCATTTCATGGCTTCTGGAACACCCCCGCCGCCGGACCAGCTGCTGACGACTGTGAGCACTCGCAACTGATATGCATCTGTTTGCGGTCTTTTCGGATTGATGGTGTAGACGATGGTGTCACCCATTGCTGACACGACGGCCCGTCCATCCGTTGCGCACAGCTCCCCGACGACTTGAAGCTGTTGGGGAACTTCGTCATTCTTCAAGTGCTCCGGGAAGAAGTCTAGCTGGAATTGGTGATTGCACGAACTCGGAAGATTCACGAAAGGGTTTGCACCCAGCAGCTCCTCCGACCACTCAGACAGCAAAGCTTTGAGACTAAAGTCCGAGACCATCACCGTGAAGCCTCTTTGCAAGGCATGGCCGACCAGCTGCATCGTCGCACTTGGTCCAATTTGTCCTCGGCGTCGGCCGCCTCGCCCGAAGCCATGCGGACCACAAGCCCCACAGCATTCCCAATTGAAGGTTACGCTGTCTGCTGCTACGCTGTTGATGTCATCGAGCAACTCCCTCCAGCCAGGCTCTGCCAGCTCTGCAGCCTGCCCGCCACAAAGAAGATCCAGAAGCCTGGCAGCATCGTGCAAGCTTACAGCGTAGGTGCTGACTCGCTCACCCGGGACCGTCTCGGGCTTCACTTCCCGAAAGTTCGCATCATACGAGAAGTCTGCGGAGATAGTCACGACCACTGCAACGAGCTTGTCCTGGAGATTCTCTGCCTCGTTGAACAGCTTCTGCAGCCCTGATGCTTGACCTTCGGGCTCCGGTTCGAACGGGAGCTCGGAGAAGCACTCTGCTGGCGATCCTTCAGACACGATGTCAATGTCCTCCGCGGCAGCCGTGCTTGACTTCGTTGTCTGAGTCGTTTTGGACCCGATGAAGCAGAAGCAAGACATGTCTCGGAAATATGGGAAGGAGGAGGATCCGGGACTTGCCTACAAACCTACACAAACTAAATCTCCAACCCAGATCAGCCGGAATATCGGAGAAGAAAGCAGAGGGGAGAGCATGCCTTCGCTTATGCTCCGGGCTGAAGGGGAGAGTCAGCCCCAGGCTTCATTATGAGATTCCAGCCGCGAGCTACCATGGTCCTCTGAAACCCCCCGAAACAAAGGAAGCCTAAAACACGACCAATACAAGTACTATGGGAGCTTCCGAAAATCAGGGGTGGGTACTATATTATTAGGGTCCCCTATATTCGGAATCTCCCACGTCGTAGATCGCGGCCCCAGGACCCAATGCCATGTATCAATGCCGTATCTTAAGCCCCGCAGCCCCCACCAGGCCTGGACAGGGACCACAACCGGACTGGCAGCCCTGAGAACGGTTTTGGGCTGCCGGGTTTCAGGTCATTTCGTCCTCATAAGCTACTTCAGAATGCATGGGGTTGTTAAACACATGTAATTAGGTGTGTTTTCGATTCTTCAACAAGGCCCGTGCTTCGAGGAGAGATCTTTCCCGAAATTCTGGAGGCTTCCACATCTGAGAACCTCATTACAACGAAAATATCGGTCTGCCTGTGGCTCAACATAGCCCGAAACCCTTACATGGTAATATAGAAGCCGTATTTTTCATGGTTCCTGTTGAAGTGTACTAGAATACACCCCCAAAGCTTAGCGTGGGTCGAGCTTAGTTCAGGATTCGTATTTAGGGCTCAGGACCCAGGGTTACATGGCTTATTGAATTCAGGGTGCCTGTCTAACCCCGGCACCCCAAAAAACCTAAACCCTAAACCCGGTTTCAGAATTTAGGACGACAGGTAGGGTTCTTCAAATGCCGCGCCCCAAGGCTCCAACCCCAGATCTTCACGTAAAGCTTCCTCATCTACCCTCTAAAGAAACTTCCCTGATGCAGGTGGTAAGGTCGCAAAAAACCCGTCAGTAAGCCCCCTATAGACCCCTACATCCTACTGGACCTGCTATTACTGAAAACTTAAATCGGAACAAACACCAGGGCCTGAATACTTTAGGGTTATGGGGTGTAATAATGTCTTGTCTAACATCAAAGCTACAGGGGAACATTGTTACTAATCCTTCCGACTCCTACATTACACTTCAGCATCAGCCACCTCACCGGAGCGGCTGTCGGTGGAACCACCGCAACTACGACCACCTGCGGTTTGGAGTTTCAGGCTTAAGGTGTTAAAATACAAGGCTTAGGGTTTACAGTAGAAGCCAGAAAGTCGGAACATCATTACCCTCATGCCCTCAAGGTAAAGTATACGGGATCCCATGAGACAACCTAAACTCCGGTGTCGGGCTGCTGGCTTTGGACATCACTTCCGAACTGTGATCGTCCAAGCGTGAGCTCATGCAACTGTATGTTTTGAAACCCATCATTCTTTCTTTGGCTCCATGCTTATCCCGGCAAACGAGGTGACCAAAAATAATAACCACACTTTCGGGGGCTAAGAGCGCCTTCTCGAATGCATCGGGCCTTCAGGTATCCCGACACCTTTAAACTCGAAACTTTGCACCTCGAAAATTCCCAAGCCCAAAGCGACCCCCGTCAGCTTTCAAAGGAGCTAGCTTGGCGAGCTAGCGGGACATGTTTGCAGATGTGTACAGCTCGGTACAGGGTTTAACGTATAAAGTGCAAGGCAAGCCACACTCAATGCGGCACTTCACTTGCAGCCGGACGCCACTTCGGCATGGACCCTGCTGTCAAACACATCTAAACCCTAAATCCCGAACACTAGCAACGCCCTAAGCCCTAACGCCTTAACCCAAAACACTGAACCCTAAACCCGCCTCATCCTCCTCCGAATCGCTGATGCTTTCTTCAGCTTTGGTGGTAACTTTGGTGGTCGTGTGACCTTGCAGGGGTCACGGCTTCTGGTTTAGAAATGTGTAAAGCCGACGGTGCTCCGGTTTGCACTCTGCATAAGATCCTGCAGTGTGATACCTACATCCGGTACAATCCTAAAGCCTGCAGCCAAACGTGATAGGCACGGTATCCCTGTATCCCTACGCCCTTGACTTGATTTCACGAAGCCGGCCAGCATGCACAATGTCCTGAGTTCTACCTGCTGTTGCTGCACCGTCACTCCGCCGAAACCGCCGACCGTGAACCGGTGAGACCGAGGTGTCTGAGGTATTGTCAACACTTAAGGCTTTTGCGGCCCTAAGCTTCAAAATCCCGCACCGGAACCTAATGCGCCACTTCGACAAAGAATGAGGGTTGCAGCTTATGCTGCGCAATACTCCAACACAGGCATGACCATGGAAGCTGGAAGGCAAATATACCTGCTCATGGATCCGACACAAACACCCCAAAACCTGAACAACACTAGACCCCTGAGTGCCCTGAGGGCTTTTCGTCCGATACACCCGGAACCCCGAACCCTACACCCCTATGCTGCCAAAACCCTGAAATTAGTGGAGGCAACCCTGGGAGCCAATCATTTACAGTCGTTGGTTTAGGGCCGGGCTCGTATAAGTGAACCCTGGCCGAGTTAAAACTGCAACAGGAGAGAGGTCGAGAAAAGGAGGGGTTCGAGGCCGGGATCTTTGCTTCTGGGATTAATCACGGTTGCTGCTGCTTTTCTGACGATTATTGTTGCTGTCGGCACGTGGTAAGTGCGCCAAAGCTTATATTTAACAACATAGTAGGTGTTCCATGGATGCTTTGGCCCCGCAAGCATATACGAACTTCAAAAGTGTCCCTGAACCCTTAGCCCAGTGTCCACTGAGCTCTTTGCTAACAACGTGTGCCCGCGCGCTGCTACGACTGCGCCGTCGGCTTGGCCTGAAGCGGCAGACAGCGGAAATCAGGAGATGCGCGAGGGACTCGGAGGCATCGTTTCAAGCGCTCGAGTAGTTGAGGCTTGAGGGTCTAGTGTATACATAGAGAGTATCCTATATAGGATACTGAGACTACAAGCATAGATGGACAAAGGCTTATTTCTAATTACTGTAACTCTCTGACTGTGCAATTTTAGAAAAAGGTGCTATGGGATGGGGATTCGGAAGGAGGAAGACGTATGGCAGGTCCAGTGACGGATGTCATATCCAAGGCACAAAGCCACAAAGGCAAAGCCTCTGAGATCTCGACTCCACTTCGGCCGTCTTGGCGGGTGTTTGGGCCTTCCAAAATGACGAAGCTTCTGCGGGGGACTGGTCTACCTTTTGCTCTTTGATCTTCGGCTTGGAGGGTTGAGGGTTTCGGTTTGTTGCAGTGAAGGGCGTATTCAGGGTCTTTGCTGTAGGGGCTGGCGTTGCACGCGTTTTGCGGTTTAGGAGCTTCGGGCTTCGCCATGGCACAGTGCTAGCGTCCGACCTGTTGGCGCTCACAGCAAGAGTAGCAGATCGAGTCACGCATAAAGTTGCAACTGCTAGAACTAACAAGCTATAAGAAATCGATCATCAATGCAGTTCGTGGCTGCGAGCTTGAAAACAAACGGGCTCTCCACAGTAGGATTTCTTGTTGGGCACCCTTCTTACAAAAGTGACGCCTTGTTTGGGGATCCTGGTAAGAGGACACGCATGTCGAGGACTAGCCACAAGTCAAGGCAACGGGAGACAGGCCCATACCGAAACCAATGAACCTTCAACTCTACAGAATGGTACGCTGAAAAACTGCACACACACACACACACACACCAAAAAAAACACCACTTCCCCCGACAACCCCTATCCCTTGACCTAGAAAATGCTCATGTTCTGCTGCTTTTGGGCTTTTCGGGATGAACTATTTTGCAGAGTTGCTTGTTCAAGCCTTTCAAGATGTCAGGTGCCGGTTTGCACAAAGGACAGGGGACCTACTATCTGCGTACTTCCGCCCGACCATTTGGACTGCCGCTGTGGGCCAGGGAAACCATCGAACCATCAACCCCTCCTACTGTCCGAAATCCAAGATCTGATACAACCACTAAACGCTGACGAAGCTAGTGAGACACCCATGGAATTAGGATTTAGCCCTCACTGGAGCAAAACATCTTGCACCGCTTGCATGTTGCCCTGAAGCCTTGAACCCAGACCCCTAAGCCCTAAGCCCAAAACCGGAAATCCAAAACCGGTCCTAGGCCCCGAAAACCCCGAAAACCAGAGCCCAAAATCCCCGAAACCCACGCACTGGCCTTGATCTCCGATCCTGTGTCGGCCCTGGCACGCGAAATGCCACGTACTTAAGGGCTTCGGCAGTAAGGTATAGGGCTTGAAGGCTTTTCGATCTGAGGGATTCAGATTTACGGTCCAAGGATACTGGGTTAAAGGTTGAGGGCTCGGGGCTTCTTGCCAGGCTGCTTGACCGAAAAAGCCCAGGTATCTACAATCTACATATTGGAATACCCGTTTGATCATATCGGGTCGGTCTGTCTATATACAGGTATGCACTTCTAGCGTCACGGCTGCTGCTACTTCTACTGCTGCTGCTGCTACTGCTGCTGCTGCTGCTGCTCCTGCTGCTGCTGCTGCTGTTCCTGCTGCTGCTGCTGCTGCTCCTGCTCCTGCTCCTGCTCCTGCTCCTGCTCCTGCTCCTGCTCCTGCTGCTGCTGCATCTGCTCCTGCTCCTCCTGCTGCTGCTGCTACTGCTACTGCAACAGCAACAACTACCACTACTACCACTACTACCACTACTACTACTACTACTACTACTACTACTACTACTACTACTACTACTACTACTACTACTACTACTACTAGTACTACTAGTACTACTAGTACTACTAGTACTACTAGTACTACTAGTACTACTCGTACTACTAGTACTACTAGTACTACTAGTACTACTAGTACTACTAGTACTACTAGTACTACTACTACTACTACTACTACTACTACTACTACTACTACTACTACTACTACTACTACTACTACTACTACTACTACTACTACTACTACTACTACTACTACTACTACTACTACTACTAGTAAGTAGTAGTAGTAGTAGTACTAGT